ATATATATATATATATATATATATATATATATATATATATATATATATATATATATATATATATATATATATAAAGTGGGAGATAAGTATGTGACGATCACTTCTCACAATCACAGTGGGACTCCTCACAGCCATATAATATATGTATGTAATCGCAGGCAGTCAAATCCAAAGTCCGAACCACAGAACATACTTGCAATCACATCAAAGAGTCAACCAAAAGTTCACATACTATACGGAGTCAACTTCAACCATTCTATATACTCATACCCCTTGCTTTAGCCATGCAAGCCCAAACCTTTCTTCAGTCCTCCATAATTAAATACTCAGTACCTTTGTTAAATGGTCATTCAATAAAAGTCCAGGTGAAAACCTTAATAAAACCCAAAAAATCACCAAGGCTAAGACTTTTTAGGTTGAGTATTGAGGATGAATAGGAGTTGAGTCGTAAATCAACGAATCGGCGACGGACCTGTTATCAGTGATAACAGAAGATGATCCTCGTAGGATCAAGCTGAATTTATTTCAGATTCTGAATCAAATGATCAAGAGGACCTGTAATACAGGACAGTCCAATACCCAGGCGAAATTTTTAAGAGTATGGAGAATAAAGTTTCATATCACAATCTCACTCATCACCGTTCTCGATTAACTAAGTCTAAATCTATCCTTAAGCAGACATCTAAGAAAAATGTAGGTCCTGGCCGGATCTCCTTTATACAGGGTGGATCTCCATAATTCGCCACTTGTCAAAATATACTCTATCTCGTTTAAACTAGAAAAATTTTGGCAGCGCTTCCCGTAGGAAAAGTACCTTTTCAGAATTTATACTAACTCAAATATGGAAACAAAAACAAATTTTAATTATGGAAAGTTAAATTTTGTCTAACTCCCTGAATTAGTAAAAATTTTGGCAGCACTCCCTTTAAAAAAAAATGTTTTTCAAATTTTTATTAAGTCAGGTATGAACCCAGGGCAAAACCTGAGTTCAACTAAGAAAAAATTTAACTAACTCCTTACATTTGTGAAAATTTTGGCAGCACTCCCTTCAGAAAAGTGTTAATCCAAGATTTATAAAAAACTAAGTTCAGAATAGAAAGTGACTTTTACTTCTCACGGTCCAATTTTGTCTAACTTCCTGAATTAGCAAAAATTTGGGCAGCACTCCTTTTCGAAAAGGAGACTTTTCAGATTTTTACTAAGCCATATATAAAAGTCAGTCAAGTTGAACTTTGAAAAGACAAAATCTTACTAACTCCTGGGTTTTGTAGAAATTTCGGCAGCGCTTCTCGTAGAGAAAGTGGCTTACCAAGATTTATACAAAACCAAGTATAATAAAATGATCCTAGAAAATGCAGAAATTGACCTAAGTAAAATAAACTTAGCCCAGAAAATACAAAAAATTGAAACTAACTCCTATGGCTACAGCACGTAGCGAGCAACTACAGCAACAACCTATCAACTGAAACTTGGACTAAGTAGAGATCTCATTCAGCCACATGCATGTCAAACCACAAAGATAAGTACTCTCACCATCCCAAGTCAGACTTATCAAACAATAGTTCATAGTCTTTCATTATGGGAACCTGTCTAGCTCAGCCATAAAATATACACAAACACATGGCACCATAACTTTTCTCTTCTTTGGGCACATGACTAGGTTAGCCAGACTAGTCGCCCGGGACTATTTAAGTATCCAAGTTATACCTAATTATCTGTACTTTGCCTTTTAAGGTAACATATGACTAAACCAGTCATCTTAGATCAAGGTTCAACTCATCCTTTCTTACCACAATTGTATTCTTAATTTATATCTTCTTCAGTTAAATGATATGTTATAGTCAGACCATCCAAACTTATGGAAAAATGGTTGACTAGCCTATTCAAAATTGAAGTAGTATAAAATATAAACAAATTTAACCTTTTGGTTTCAGAATGTGCGTGGCTTCAGACCAGACCACTCAATCTTATGGGAACCTGTCCAGTCCTCTGCCCAAATTCCTTCTCAAAATAAAACAAGAGAGGGTCAAGGTTATCCAATCTTATAGAACATGTTTAACTCTCTTTCAAAAACTAAC